TATATATAACACAAATAAATATTCGAGAGAGGGATTAAAAATTAAACGATTTTTATTTTAAAGTTCACAAGTCATCCATCATAGTGTACAGTAACTTTTAACATTTACGATTTGTAAATTAGACGATTAACCTAATTAAATAGCCGATTTTTATATGTATTCCCAGCATTTGTGCGTGTGCCAAACTCTAAAACCGTTTGTTGGTGAAAATGTCAGTAGCGGGAAATACGACATTGTTTCACAATTCTCCATTTGTCTCGTCCCTGTTTCTTTTTTAGAATTTTTCTATTGCAAATTGAATATTTTCGATTTTAATACATGTAAAAATTATATAAAATTATCTAAATTCGATGTGTTCTTATAATTTTTCGCTGGTTTTTATTATAAAATACTTATCTTTTATTACATCTTTAGATTTACGCGAATATTTGAATAAATTAAAATTAAATAAATAATATAGAGTATTCAATTATAAAACTCATTGAAATTACAAAAAATGTTTAAATTAACAAATATTGTAAGAACTTTGGTGCCATATTTGTATTTTTTAAAGTCATTGTATAATTTTGTGGATAGGCACTATTTGTAACAACTACTCGTATATAATGATCTTTGAGACGTCTGAAACATTAGTCTTTCCCGTGACAATGATTACTGTAAAGCATTCAAAAAGTCGGGAACCAAAAATCGTCGGAAAGATAGTTTTATTTAAAATTATTTATCTTTCTTAAAAAGGGACTTTAATATGTTTAATAGTACAGAGGTCGAAGGTACACTACTTAATCTATACGTACTCGCATAATAAAATTCTAACTGAGCCGAATCTGTACATTAAATATTTTTTGGAAAATCTTATTGAAATAGTCATTATAATCGATATGGAGGCTGAATCTATAGTTTTTAGATTTACTATAGGTGAACCCGAATGAAGCGAGGGTTAGTCGCTAGTAAATAATAATAAGATAAATGTCCGTTTTCACCAACATCCCATAAGCTATCCCCTACGTATGGGATCCCTAGCTTAAAAGTTTAGGTGGCATTTTAACATTTAGGTGACCCCTAACTGTCGGTGAAACAGAAACTGTCCCCTAACAGCCCCCTAACTATGCTTAGGGGATCCCTTAAACTTAGGTGACGTTGGTGAAATCGGCCAAAACTCACATAAAGTATGGGTTTAAATTTTACCTTTATATGCTTTCCTTTAAATTTTCTAGACCAATTTTTAAGCCCAAACAAATCATTTTTTTTGGCAAATCAAAAAAACAGACACGAAGTTAAAAATGTTAGTATTGTAATAAAAGACTGATATAGTGTGATACTGATGTATCTGTTACATTTGCTCCCATTGTTATCTGCTCATATTCACCGCGAGGCTAAGCTAATTGTACAAATGCCATTTCTACAGCTTCAACTATACATATATATAAAAAAATTGAAATGTGTCTGTGTAGTTCAAATTAGAAGCACTAAAATACATAAATAAGTGCGTAAATCTCATATATAACTGCATATGTTAATATTATAAATTACAACATCTATATAATTAAGTACCTAAATGTTCGTTGCAAAACCACAAATCTCCGAAAGTTTTTCACCGATTGCTTGGTTTTGACATAATATTTTAAATACGTGTTTTTACATTGATGTTAATCTGTTTTTGCTATATACATATGTACTGAAAATTCAATTTATACTTACATGTAATAAAATTCTGACTGGAATCTGTACATTAAATATTTTTTGGAAAATCTTATTAAGTAGTCATTACTATCGACGCAGAGTCCAATCTATAGTTTTTAGAATTTTTGTCTGTCTGTCTGTCTGTCTGTATGTCTGGGAACTATTCACAAGAAAAAAAACATTATTATCGATACAGAGGCTGAATCTATAGTTTTTAGTCTGTCTGTAGTAGATTTTTGTCTGTCTGTTACCGCATCACGGAAAATTCATTGGACAGATTTTGATGAAATTTGGTATGATGATAGCTAGTTATCCGGGTCAATATATAGGATACTTTTTACTGCGGGAAAATATCTCATTTCTGAGAAATCTATACTAACCGTTAAAACGTAACTAGGGACGAACCCGAGCGGAGCGAGAGTGAGTCGCTAAATAAAATAAAGTATACAAATAAAATTTCCTTATTGTAACTCTACGACACTAGATGGCGCTTAACGGTCGTGTAGTCATCGATGGAGTGTCAACTTCTACACTGTCTTGCTAACCAATTGCCATGAAAATTCATGTATTTGAGTTAGAATATTGATTATTACTAATAATTATTAATCTATAACTAAGCGTATTAATAACTACGTAATTTCTTTAACCTAAGAAAATTTAAAATAGAACTATTTTTATTTTATTCCATATTTGTACACTAATTTTCTATCTTTGTTTAAATATCGTAGGGCAAACTTAAAAAAATACTTACATATACGAGTATATGTAGCATAATAATACTTATTTATATATACGTAACTATCATAGAAAATTTCATGTTTCCAAATCGAACGGGTTAGCCTTTGCGTTGTCTAACAGTTAGTGAAGAAGTTTTATTTAGTAGATTACATAGTGTACTCAAACTTATAGGGATTAAATATTTTATAGAGATTAAAACGTTTGTTCCCTTTGGTTAAAGCCATGCGCAGTACTTGGCAACGCAACCAAGCACACACTGCTTGAAAGTAGATGTCTGGAGAACGATAACATGCTTACACTGTCATCGACATTATGTTATACAAGCATTTTACCCTCGCTTAGCTCGTTATGCGTGTCTAGCTGACGCTTGTATCTATACTTATTACTATAATATTACAAATGTGAAAGTTTGTGAGTATGGATGTTTGTTACTCTTTCACGTCAGAATGGCTGAACGGATCTGGATGAAATTTGGATATATGTATATGTATAGATATAACTTTTATATAGGCTTTTCATACTATTCATCTGATTGACAGAATCAGGGAATAAAAAATGTGGTGGGAATAAATGGAGGTCTATAGCTAAACATGCAGATTGTATATAGTTACAACTTACAACATTGCAAATAAATGTAATGCAAATAATTGTTTCACATTTACAGAACCACAACAATGGATTCATAAATTTACTTAAACCGGTGTTCGCCCTGTGGTCGAAATTGGGCCATAATTATCATTGAAAATTTGAGGAAAACAAACATGAATAGAATTTAGTATCTTTATAAGAAAAAAAACTATCTATTTCCAAAAAGCATTGTAGATAACGCTAAAGCTCGTCAGTAGCTGTCAATGAACAAAAAAAAAAACTATTGCCACACAGAGAAAAAAAGTTACTAAGCTATTTTGTCTTCGATGTATTTTGTCTATTAGATAATGAAACAACAATATAATGAAATTGTCAATTGTAAATGTCTTTGTCAATTGTGAAATGATATTAAAAAAATAGATTTAAATACTCCGATGGCATAATAGTTTATTTTTCACCCATCAGTTACATGTATGGAGTGCCATCTCTGTTTATATTTTTAATTTTCCTAATCCGACTTAATCATTATCTTGCAGTTCGCTTGAGATATTTTTATACCAAATGATATTCTTGTCACGTTTTATTCTAACAAGCAGCGTTGTAGATACACCTCTGTTGGGTTCCGTTTTTGGCGGTGCTCCGTTTCTGTGTTTGGTTTTTGGTTAAGGCATTAAAACACAATAATTCGATTACAGTAGCGTACTACAAAAATTGAAGATTTAGAACCTCCTCTTATTTTTAAGTCGGTTTAAAATTAGATGAAAGCAATTCTTTGCTGTTTATAACAGCTGTTGGTAAGATGGATATTCTGAGTGTTTTGTTTGGTTTCCTTAGACTCAAGAGTGTGCGACCTTCAGGCATTCTCACCATCACATTGGAAAAATGATCCGATCGTTAGGTTTTCGAGATTATCTTTTTTTAAACCCCATTTAGGTCAAAAACCGCCAACTACAGCCTACAACTTTCCTACGAAACATTTTTCAATTAATGAATAATTTATGAGTCACGTCATAGTCAGTTCAGCACATTTCTACCATTTGCAAAACATTTTTTCTTCAATTTTCTGTAAACATCGATTAATTAATATGTATTATGATTTTTACTGATTTTCACTCTACTTACTATAAGATAGATTCAGACGTCCGTTTTATTTTGTAGTGGAATCTCTATGCCTATTTTAGAATTTGTTTTATATTGATATATTTTCTTCAGTTTCTATATAATCTTTATTGATGTTCACCATCTAAGATATGACATTGCATATGTGTAAAGTTGACACCTCCTTCACTTCTAAAGTTTTTTTTTTCAATATTTTCAAAAAAATTAACTATTTAGCTTCAGTGCGTCCGTCGGTTTACAGCTAACTGCATATTATATCTGTTATATTCTACTTTCTTCAAAAAAGTAACAAGTATCTGGTGAGCCATAAAAAATATATTCATAATTTTATTGAAAACATATTTAAATTTAAAAATATCTACCGGGAAAGACAAGGGATGCTACTAGTTGAGTTAATTGGTTTATATCTCAAGCGCAGCCAGTAGGACAAGTTCGAAAGCATTACCCTTATTTGTTACACAAGATTTTCTATTATTGATGTCAACTATATATTATATGTGAATTAAATGACATAACAGCTAAAATTACTTTTTAAATCAAATCTATCTAACATTGCAGCAAAATGCATATTTTATCAAAGCCGAGAAAATACAGTAAATACTTTATTTTTTAGAATATTTCAGTTTCATTTATATTATTTATATGTTTGCTCAAAATTGATATTCCATATCCGTTAAAAGCATATAAAATATAAAAAAATTAAAGAGTAACTGCAAATTAATAACTCCGATTTTAAATTCGATATAAACTGAAAATATGATTCGAAACTCAAAATTAACCGTTCGATCGTTATTCCAGTTGGTATAGGCGCTCGCTAGATGGCGCTATGGGTTCGTAGGTAGGCGCTAAGCTGTCAGTCTCACGCCAACCGCCCGATGGGAAAGACGTCTGGTGGACGCCCTGAGGCAGGAGTCCGAGCTCACAGAATAAATAGTCGCAGGTGATTTGGATTTCGGCATGTCGTTACAAATCTACGCTTATTTTGGTCAAATACAATACCTTTTAGCTTCTTTATCGCACGCATGTATTCGCTTTTCAGCTGATTAATACAATTTATTATCCATAATATAGTATATACTATATGAATATTTTACAAAATATAGACAATATCGATATTATACATTTTTTATTTATTGTAATTTCAGCCTAGTCCAACATACCTACACTAGAGTATAATATGTAATATCTGATATATCAATATAGACACTTATTATTACTTAGTCGAGGTTAGCGTGGTAGGTACGATTTTGATTTAAATTATGCAATATCCTTATAGCTAAAAGAATGATAAAAAAAATTATTTAAACACTCCGAGGGCATAATATATTATTTTTCACCCATCAGTTACATGTATAGAGTACCATCTCTGTTTATATTTTTAATTTACCTAATCCGACTTAATCATTGTCTTGCAGTTCGCTTGACATATTTTTATACCAAATGATGTTCTTGGCAAGTCTTATTCCAACAAGCAGCGTTGTAGATACACTTCTGTAGGATGCCGTTTTTGGCGGTGCTTCGTTTCCTTTTTTGCTAAAGCAATTATATAAGCTAGTTTGCACCCAATGGTCATATATAAATAGAATTTACCTGTCTATTATAAGCAAAACAGTTTTTAACATATTTTTATTGATGACACTAAATCTCGTCAATAGCTCCTAAACAGAAAAAATGTCGGTTGACAAACAGATGAGAAAAAAATAATGCAGTGGCTACCACTGCATTATTTTTTTCAGTGGTAACGCGCTCGCTTGGGAAACCGAGTGATGCGGGTTCAAATCCCGGGTCTCGCACCTCTGATATTTTCATGTGCGAATCATTTCTAGCACGATTACCACTTGTCTTACGGTGAAGTAAAACATCATGAGGAAACCTGCATGTCTGAGGGAACTTAGCATGTTTTCAAAAGATATGTGAAGTCTGATCATAACCAGTATCAGTATCATAAGGCATTGAATGGCACTAACAATAACCAGTATCCTTTGTAATATTATAAATATGAATATGTGTTAGTTTGTCCTTTTTCTCTTTAACGACAGAACGATAGATTAAAAATTAAAAATAGTAAAATCTGTTATCTATTCAAGCAAACAAAAATTAGCGCTGTCTAATTTCCTTGTATGGGATGTGACATTTCTTGGGAGAGTGAGGAGAGTGAATGAGAATTGCGATAGGTGTAGTTAGGATTTAAATCAATTGATAAAAGATTGTGATTAGAAACATATAGAAAAACCTACTATAAATCTGAAATGAACTGGGAATCAAACCGACTCCATGTGTCAAAACATTATTACTAATTAAAATCCTTTAAAATTTTAATGATGCAAATGATTTTTAAGGATAATTTTTGCCCTACAGCGCTACGCAAAGGACGGTAATGTGTTTATCAGTCTATGTATGTATGTTTATTCTTATGTGGCGTTTTAGTATCTAAACGCGTCAAACGCGTGCCGATTTTGATGATTCATACGTCGTTAGATTCGTCTTGAAAAACGCGAGTGTCGTAGATATATAAAAATAGTTGAAAATTAAAATAGCAGATTTGAGGCGCCAATTTGTGTGTATTTAAAAAAGAATTTCTTCCAAGGGAATCAAAATAAAAAATATATATTATAAAAATAAAACCCGACTGCATAAAAGCTAACTAAAAAGATACGAACAAGAAACTAAAAAGATACAACAATGACGAATAAATAGAGCATTATGCAGTGGGAGATGTCTCCCATATATTTATATTATGTATATTCATATATATTATGTATATCCATATATTTCGCGGCGAAGATGAAATGTGTATGTCTCCGACTGATTGATACTTTATTCCTTTGTCAACTCGTTTTAATCTTTTTAGTTAGCTTTTTTAAAAGATTCATTTTGTATTGTAATATACGATAACGAATAAACTACATTGTCAACTTATGATGTTCTCCTAGCCGATTCCGGCCACGGCGGCCAATCTCATTGAGATTAGCCAACTGCGCAGGAGATATTATACTGCACAAGTGTACGCGCAGACACAAGTGCACTCTCTATTCCTATGACTCTCATACTCCGGTGGGACGACCGCCCGACACGACCGGTGAGAGTTAAGGCGCAGGACCGACGGCTTTACGTGCTCTCCGGGGCACGGGGGTGAAACACCGCCAACTTCCCAACTCCGGGCTGTTATTGAGACTTACTATACAGAAAGACTCAATAACTAAACATGGCTCGACCCGGGACTCGAACCCAGGACCTCCAGGTGTGCAGCCGTACATGCTAGCCACTACACCACTGAGGCAGTTTAGGAAGTTTAACTTATAACATAATATTAACATTTTTTCATAAAGAATTTTTTGTGTTTTTATTTTTAACTCATTAGCGGTTTATTTCTAGATCAAGGTCATGTTAAAGAATTGTTTACGCAATACTAAATCTGTACAAGACGAACTTCACAACGAACGAACGAACACTTCACAATTTATAATTCTCTTGGAGTTGAGTAAAAATAACTAATCATATTAAATTTTTAACTGTTAAAATTTAAACCTTCTTTTCTACCAAAAACAAAAAAATCTCCTCCTTATATATGATTTTTTTACTGTATTCTATTCTCGTTATTTTTGTCCTCTATCCCGCGGGAATCCCTTGTCTTATCTGTGATAAAATAGACTATATCCATCTCACCTTTATGTTTATATCCCGAAAAGCTCTTTAAAGGTCAGCCATTCTATTGACCAGCGGGTAGACAAAGGTTGACAGACAAAAAGAAATAAATTTAATATATAAGTGTCTGGGATTTTTTAGTTCGCAGACATACAATTTAACTTTATTTTTATGTGTAGACCCTTACTTACCTTGCCCATACTTATTCTTATTATTTTATAGTGATACACTATAAGAGGATTTCTCAACCGCCCGCGTTCAGATGACCAAAAACCAAATTCTTAGGTTTTACATATTAGTATACTCTTACAATGCATGTTTGTATTTTTTCTTAAAAATGAGATCTCTTCCCGCGGTAAAAAGCATCCTATATGTTGACCCGGATAACCAGCTATCACCATACCAAATTGCATCAAAATCCCTCCAGTGGTTTTTCTGGGATGCGGTAACAGACATACAGACAGACAGACAGACAGTCAGACAAAAATTCTAAAAACTATAGATTCGGCTTCTGTATCGATAATAATGTCTATTTCAATAAGATTTTCCAAAAAATATTTAATGTACAGATTCGGCTTAGTTACAATTTTATTATATGTATAGATTTTCATGCCCACCTTTATTTTTTTCATTTCATTTCATTTCAAAACTCTCTCTACGCCCCCCAAAGGGGGCCTGTTCCCCTGGTTGGGAACTCCTGCTCTATAATCTAGCTTAAGCCTAGAACTTGAAGTTTCATTATTGTAAATCTGCAAGTCTACATATAGTAGAGTTTTGTATCACATCCATTAAAAATCTATTATTACTAAACAGTTGTTCTCATAACTCGAGTGATTTTTATAAAGATGCAAATAAGTATAAGTGAGTAAAATAATATGTTCTTCGTCTTTACCAAAAGGTACTTTCTCCTTTCAATATATTTATTATTTTTGTATTACAATTTCTATCTTTGTTTACTCTCATGTCAAAAAGCATAAAGCAACTGATTAATGTGATTTTTTGGACAGATAGTTTATAGAGGATATGGTTTTTTTTTAATGGTATATCGTCCAATTCCTATAGAATATGAGGTTATTGCAAAATCTTACTAAGAGATTTGCGAATTTCTTAAAGACTACGTATAGGAACGGGGCCATTTATTGGACATATAATGCGTAAATAAATTGGGTCAGACAGACAGTAGTTGTAGAAATTTAGTTGATTGGGCGATTTATGTGAATTAAGATTATGTGCAGGGCTTTTAAAGCTCCATTCCTCAAGGATGAATGGACGATTTGGGGTGAATCCAAATTTTAAACTTCTTTTATTTTGTTTTAGATAACTAAAGCTCAGTTTTTGGTTTCGAAACTGTCACAATAAATTTTAAATTACTACGTTGAAGTAACGTGAGTGAATGAAGAATATTAATGTGCACCAAACATGCACATTGCTTATTTAACTTCCTTCGTATCTCATATTTGTTTAACTTCGATATAGATTTCTATTTTTAATACGTAGTATATCCTATGCCTTATTAAAAAGAAAATTTATATCCGTTACTAATGGTTAACGCCATCATTATAATTCTTTGATCTTCAATCTTGCCAAAGATCAACATTGTAAAGCGTAAGTAAATAAACGTAATTTTAATCAATAGCCAGTGTTTTTCTCTATATGAATTTTCGTAATTTTATAAACTTTACCTGTTACACACACACACACATATATTTATTTTGTCTTTATACAATATATATATTTAATTAAAATAGTCAAACCAATTTTAAAAGTAAGTATAAGTGCGGGCGGGTTCCCTACGGGGTAAAAATTCTCTATTAGGGTAAAAAAATTCCTGGGCATCAGTGATCTCTAGAGACCGGATTATATGCAACATAAAAAGCTTGCTGTATGCACGAAAAATGCTTGAAATATGCACGAAAATTATCAAAATATGCGAAATTAAATGATAAATTTTAAGACCCAAACAAAGAAAAAAGTAAGTTTTCATTTTTTTATTTCAAAATCAGCATTTAATTAGTAAATTATCCTTTGATAGGCAATAATTAAAATTATTAAAAATTTTTTTAAACGTAAACAATCAAGTGTTGTTCCAAATGCTCAGTGGTAAGATTGTGTCTTCGATATATATAAAATATTTTCATAAGTGGAAAAGGTTCGCTCCACATCCACGGAGGTAACATGGCAGAATTTGAACTTGGGTGCTATTTTAGCACTTCTAGTTTCTAGCAAAAGTTCTGCAGTCCCATTAATAAAACTATCAATTTGACATAAACGTTCAAAACCTGGGTTATTGTTTAATACGTTTTCAAACTTTTATTTAAGTTTATGCGGCAATGCCACGTGGATTACATTTAGCGGATTTTATTCATTGCTTGGAAAGATTCAGTCAATGCGAAACCGTGAGTTTCAACCTTTTTAACACTTTCAGGTATGTAGAAACTTACTTTGTGACTATTAAATTTGGTCGGATTCGCAATATTATCACTTTTAGCGCATTTCGGAACGCAGGGTCAGTGCACTGCACTCGGAAAAATATTGTAAATGTACCGGTAATATGCATCATAACTAGATTTTAGTTAGAGGCGGCTTAACACCTCTTTAAAAATTAATTAAATTTCTAAGAAATCTATTGTTAACTGACACGCTGGCGTGTCCGCGGTCGTGGAGGTATTTAATACCTATTTAATATGCAAATGCATATAATCCGGTCTCTACTGATCTCATATAATTCATTTAATTCATCATTTATATTAATAGAAAAACAATACTAAAATTAGGTTCAAAATGATTTTTAGCTAAGACATTGCGTACAATATAAAAAAATATATAAAAATGCGTTAGAGTACCTTTCTTTTGCAGTTGCCCAAAAATACAAATTTGTTACACATCTGCTAACACATGTTCTTTTACACTGCTAATGTGATTTCAGATTTCACTGACAGTCATTAAGATTTATCGATTCATTAATCGATCTTTCCACGGTTGATCACTGTACGTGGTTTTCGTTTCCATTCAACGATTCAACGTAGACTTTAGTTAATAGGAAGCTGTAAAAGCAAGCGTTAGGCGAACATTTTGTTCTAAAAGTTGTTAGTGGTTTACGACTGGTAAAAATTGTGCTTCTGCCAGTGAGTTCCAAGGTTACGATATAGTTATAAGTATAGATATATCAATTACAGTTTATTCGTTTTAATCATAAAAGTGAAAGACGTGGTAAATATCCCGTTACATATTAAAAAATAATAATATTTCAATAGAGGCAAGTTGATTAAAAATAAATACAAATATGACGTTTGTAGCACAGAGTGTACCATTACTCCTACTACTATATGCCTTGATGGTGGGTTAAGTTATAGAATAAAAACAAATATTTCTTACCTTAATCTGTTATTTTGTTTTTAACTAAAAATATTTTTTCTATTGGGCGGCAATGAAAATATTTTTTTTCTGTTTATAAATTATAAATTATGTATAATAATGTTAGAAAATAATACTTATTCTCTATAAAGGGGTAAAAATATAAGGCTAAGAAAGTTAATAAAGAAAAAATCTATAAATATTGTTAGGCTATGCAAGCAAGTCTTTAAACATGAACAAATTAATTATGATAAAACCATAGTTAATAAATGAGCGCACTGCCTCAGATACTTTAGGACGGCCGACTGGCACAGTTGTAAAAGTGTTTCTGCTTAAAATTTCGGTTACGGTTCTAATTGGGTTAAAGAGTCAGTGTTTATTAAGAACAGAAAGTAAATGAGTGAAAGCCGTTCAAAGATAGCATTGTTAATTCATTACTTTAATATTTAAAGCAATTGCCATATGTTACCATGTTCTTTCTGACTGCTCTCTCAGTATATAATACCTTTTTTTATGTTAGAAAATGCATTTACACATACCACCTACAGTTATGTGGCTAGAAAAGACAGTACTACCCACTAAAATCCGACAAAACCTCTTCTGTTTTAATGGGGCTTCGCAGGAATATTACATTACAACACACAAAATAACATTAATTATATATATTTATTACGATTTTGATACGGACTTCGACGTGATACACAACTGGAGGTCACTGAAAATCAGCTGTGGAACTAAATTCCCACTACAGTCTGAGTGACTACAACTTTGCACTATTGCACTGCTATACAGTTAGTAAAATAGAATAATAATTGTGCATTAATTTTAAATAAATGAGTCTCTCCCGCGACCAAATACTGTAAAGTGTAAAGCATTCAAAACCTTGGGAACTGGAAATCAAAATAAATCCGCGAAAAAATCCGAAAGAAAAGTTCTATTTAAAATATCAAATATTCGCGTAAATAAAGTATTATTTACATATGTCTGCATTAATATTTTATTTTTATAATTCTGCTGTATTGTAATAAATAAACTGTGACGTGTATTTTGGTGTAAATAAATCTTTCTTACTTAGTAGTTTTGCTGTACTCTATTGTATTTACTGTATACTGTGTTTCTTTGCAGGGAGTCCGGCGTGTCGTGGGGGAGGCGCGGGCGCGGGGGCGGGGCAGCGCGCGCGGGCGCAGGCGCGTGGCGGCGGCGCGAGCGGCTCGCGCAGTCACGCAGGCCCATGGAGATCCTCACCAGCCTGTATGCGCTGCTGTCTGGCGGGGTGAGTGTTGAAATATATATATATATATATATATATTAACTTATTTACATATCTGTTGCTTTCCCTAAAGATAGAAAATCATAAGCTTAAACAAATTATATTAATTTGCTATCGCTAATATAGAAGATAACATATAGATGATAGATTACTAATTGCTACGCATACTCGTAGAAAATATTATTTAATATTATCGACATCGCTAAAAAACATTGGTACTCGTTTAGATATATTTAATTCTCATACATTTTTTTATCTTTACTTCGCTGACCCGACAATCGAGATCCGGTGCAAATCTCCAGAATTTTGAGATTTTTATGTCAAACCCTTTTCATTTTCCTGAATTTATCAATTTTTAAAGTCTCATCTTTTTCATTTTGTAAAAACAACTTATTAAGAGTATTATGTTCATTCTTAGTTAAGTTAGCCATATTGCTAAAATCATTTTATTTTTGCGGCATAAATTAATGATAGCGAATAAAAAAATGACATCTTTGTTAAGTTCCCAGTTGACCCTTACTTTATATTTAGTTTACAATCACTAATCACGACATATGTACGCTGTAAGATATAGCTCAAAATATATCACTAAACCCGTTTAGCCACTAAAATCAACGCGTTTAAGCAAACAAACAATGTTGATAGCGTTTGCTCACGTCCCGCCTTCGCAGTTTATTTATGTATAATTGCTCCGATTCTAGAGATGGCAATAATAGTTATCCTATATTTACTCCTTAAATAGGCTGTAAAATATAAAACTTTCTTTTTTTAATTGGATATATGATTCCAAATATTAACACATTCAAAGAAACAAAATAATATATTTCAGTTTTCTCCATTTCATCGACATCGTTCCAGCCAAAAGACGCCCACTGCTAGACATAGGCTATCACTAAAAATTTACCATAATCGACAAACTTGGTAGGCGGGTTGGCGATGGGTTGCTTCTGGTACTTTTCTGACAGCAGAGTGGACCGTTGGAGTAAACATGGTTGTTGTGGTCTGCTTCGGCAGGCCTGCCATCGGGGCGTTGTGTTTGAGCGTGTAAGCCAACCTGCGACGCCCCATTAAGACGGGGGAGGTTTTGTTGGTTTTCGTGTGTAATACTGGCTTTTCTACCCTTTAACTCCCACGTAACTACCTGTATGTCAACAGGTGGTAAGCGTAAATGCATTTCCCAACATAAAAAAGGCTGGGTTGGCGATCGCAGTTTATTGTGCGGGCGCTTGGTAAATGCTTATCCTCTAGTATTTATCTTAGTCGCCTTTTATGACACCCTCGACTAGAAAAGTTTTGGTGCTATTCTACGAGTATGCCGGAAACACCACGTCGAATCCATTTCATACTTTGTTATAATTGTATATAAATATAATACTGATGATTGACTTTGTATATTAAATATTTAGACATCGCTTTTTGGCTGGCTTATATTTAAAATTATTTTCGAAAAGGTTTTTGGACCACATCTTTGCTGACGGGTACAATAAAAAAAAACCCCTTGATGGTTGATAATCCGCTGATAAAAGTTCCCCTAAATCTATTTTGCCGTTCTTCTAGTTACAGCTATTAGTAAGCAAACAGATAAAAATTAAAAAGGGCCATTTGGTATTGTGAAAATAGCCAAATTCATTCATCAATCAATTTCAATATGGTGTAGCTATTTTAAAATCTCTGGAGAGCAGTTCAATTTATTTTTTTATTATGGTTTTTATTATTTATGATAATTATTTCTATAATAGTCATATTCTTCTTCAAGTCCATTCAGAATGTTATGAACGATGAATAGCTTTTAAAGGAACAAAGCAACTAAGGAATTTAAGTTTTTGAGCAATGCGTAGCGACACTGCATTTATCACTACTAAGACTTTAAATGTAACATTGTTTCTTGTACTGTCCTCCTGACCGAATTTCAGGCCCCGTGGCCGATCTCACTGAGCTATTTAAACGGGAGATGTACAGGTACACTCTCTGTCACTTTCTGTCCTGTGGTCGTTCTATAGGCCGACTGAAGATGAAGGCCGACTGAAGTTTTACTTGAAATTTCCAAATTTAAGACGATTTTTTTTATAATGCATGTACATTGTACAATATAGATAGATATTTACCAACAAAATAGAAATCATAAAGGATAACTTATAATATATATTATTAGATAAAAAAATTATCATATTAGGTGTAAGTGTCCTTTTTAGTACTTGGGCATTTTTACCAGTTTTAAATAATGCATAAATGTATGAGAACGTGTAGCATAATTTAAAGGTTTTATTTGTGATTCGTTCTGTTTGGGAAACAGATAACAACGCCCAGACTCCGCGCATCATAAACATCTTTGATTATACACACTCGAATCTCGTTTATAAATCCATAAACAAAATAAGTATATAAACATATGTGGCCTTAATGCTTATTATAAAGCCGTGTGAAGGGACAGTCCCTTATCACGATCCACAGTTTATTTTTTAACCCCCGATGCAAAAATGAGGGGGTGTTGTAAGTTTGACGTGTCTGTGTGTGGCAACGTACCTCCTGAACGGATGAACCGATTTTGGTTTTGTTTTTTTTTTGTTTGAAAGGTGAATTAGTCGGGAGTGTTCTTAACTATGTTTGATGAAAATCGGTCCAAGATGGCCGCCACCACAAAATTTCGGTTTACATATTTTTTCACAATTTCCTAAATATGGGTATTAAATGAAAGGGCTTGACTAGTAGAATTCTACACACTATGATAACTTTCAAATCCATGATGGCTACCACCACAAAACGGACCACGAATTACATGTTGTTTTTTTTTTAATTTTTAATAATAAGAATAAAATCCGAGAGAGTGTTATTACTTACTTAAGAATTTTAACAAATTTCTGATATAGCGGTCAGCTTATGAATTTTATTATTATAAAGTGTCTATGTTTATATGCATTGAAACTAGTCTACGGTTGAATTTGCAAGAATACTTCATACTACTATGTAGTATTTCGGCAGATTCATCTGTCAAATTACATAAAAGATTCATATAATAAGCAAACACATCACATTCAAGTATAAACTAATTTCTACTTGTGACTTTCATAGATGGTAATAATATTTTCTGAAAGAAAAATAAATGAAGTTAATATACCTATTTGGGAACGGAAACGGAAATAATACTTTAACTTACTTTTGGCTTTTTTAATAAGCAAATTTAGTAATAGATTTGTAAGTTTAAAAACTGGAAGGTCTTAAGTTATTGGTAATTGAAACTAAAATTAATATATGAAAATCTTAATAATAATTAATATATGTACCTATCTATACTATAAAGAGTTTGTGAGTTTGGGACGTTGTAGGGGAATCTCTGGATCTACAGGACCGATTTAGTTGATATTTGGTAAGAAGATAGTTTGAGACCCTGCGAAGGACATAGGATACTTTTTATCCCGGAAAGCATCCCTTAAATGGGTGAAAATGGAGATGAAAGTTTGTATTGCGAAGCAAGCTAGGGACGAACCCGAAGCGAGGGTGAGTCGCTAGTATTTTATAATTTAAATAGTAAAAGATTTCGTTGTACTTATTTTCCTTTCTGTCAACAGCAAGGAATTAATCCAAAAATCGACTCAGTAGCATTCCGGCTACACTGCGGCGCAACTACTGCGGCGCTTTTGGCAGCCAGTGCCGCGCTCACCACGCGCCATCTTGTGGGGAACCCCATAGATTGTATACATACCAGGTAAATTATTTTCTACTTAGAGCTTATGTACACGGCGACTTTATAACGTGTGCATAGGCACTTAGTGTTTCATAATCAAGTGTTCGGATCGAAATTCTACAACACAATTTTAGCTATGTTTTTCCGTCCGTCTGTCTGTTTTTCATATAAAAAGCGTATTGGACTTGTTCAAGCCAAATTGGTAAAGCCATTATCTTACGTACTTACGAATACGAACGAACAGCATTCCATTTTCATTTATATAAATTTTGGTACCGGGGTGCAAGAGTTCGACTCGCACTTGACTTATTTACTAAAAATAAATCAACACACTTTTTTGTGCAGAGCAAACAGGAAAAATAGTGACAATTTATTCTTTATGTTAGTAACGACGTCTAGTGGAAATATAAATTACTCGTAATAAAGCCTTTCTTTCGCATTTGAAAATATTGATAAATATTATAGATGCCGGAAGTTATAATAAAAAGGGTATTTGTGAACATATTAATATCCTATTGATAGCTCTATAGCCAAAGATAACTAGTTATAGATAAGTATAGATAGATATAATAGCAGTACATACAGATAAATAGAATTGAAGTGTCTGTTTGTTATGTATAACAACTTTTTGCTAAATGCATATGAAGTTATATACTCGTATAGTACTTATAAGAAAAACTCATCTCCCTGCCCATTTCCCAATTACGTGGGGTCGGCTCAGTACATCCTCCGTACTGTTGATAGCATTTGGCAAAAGTTTTACGACCGGCCGCCCGCCTGACATCAACCCTCCTTGGGAATATTTATAAGAAAATCTGAATTTATAAAATTTTTGTCTGTCTATCTGTCTGTTTGTTTTGGCTAATCTCCGAAAACACATCTAGGGAAGCATTCGAGCGAAGCGAGGGTAAGTCGCTGGTTATAAATAAAACCATATACATAAACGTCAAACATAAGTTAGTGATTAAGAAAAATGAGAATCGATCGACAGATTAGAATTAGTGACTAATAAAAAATGTTCTTTAAATATAAATATAAATTGCTTTACGGTGAAGGAAATCATTGAGAGAAAACCTAGCAAGTTTTCGAAAGACATGTGAAGTCCACCAACCCGCACTTGGCCAGCGTGGTGGACTATGCCCTGATTCCCCTCGTACTGAAGGGAGGCCCGTGCCCGGCAGTGGGACGTTAAAAAAAGGGCTGAATACAAAAAATATTCTGTTACGTGAATCTGAGATAAAGATATCTAAAAACCCCACGCCCAGGGCTCTTCTCAGAATATAAATAGTCTGCGATATAATTATTACTAATACACCAATAGAAACGAAAATAAAATTATGTCGAACTCTATCGGTAACAATAGCATTTGTGTACATTAACAATATATGTTGTACATAAAAGCTAATCGACAATTGTTTAGACGTTCTGCCAGATCTTGATTTGTTAAAAATAATAAGTTTTAAATATATTTTTTCTTGATATAGTGGATTCTGTGCTGGAATTGTCTCACTCGATTTCGTTCGTGGTCATTATTTTACTTTAAAGAAATGTAATATGTATGGTTTCATAGCTAGCGAGCTACCTAGCGTCGGCCAGGTATAACGATTAGAAATGACTACATATGCGTACAAACAATTCGACGCCTTATACTTATATTTTACAGTAGAGAGCTTTTTCCCTCTATTTTAAAAACAAAGCTTTATTTCTAAGATTTAAATAATATTGCCAAGTTTAATTTATAATACTTATTAAAAAAATTAATTGTTTAGAATTAAAAAAAATATTGTTAGGTACTAGAGTCGTCTAAAACCTTAGTCTCTGCTGTGACCATGATCGGCATGGGAACTAAAAATCAGTCGAAAAGATAGTTTTATTTCAAATTTATATACATAATTATATTGATAGAATATATTTTGAGTTTTTTTTTAAATGTGTATTTAATAATTACTAATAGAATCGACATTTGAGAGTTAATAATTCTGTGATAAAAACTCTTCGGTAAATTGTTCGTTTGGACAAATAAGCACTGAGACGACGACATGTGAATTACTTATTTTGGCTATCGGTTAGCCATAGAATATGAAATCCGACACGACTTGCGTCCCACCAAAGTTTCACCCCAAAAGATGTAGGAATGTAGAAATATGTTTTATAAACAAAATAACACACAGGCAACTACTTGGTATTGTTTTTTTTATTTGTTTTCTACAAGGTTCAAAACGCATAATATGGTAATGCCCATTGATTTCTCAAAATATGAAAGTACATACGTATATATATCTCGATTTGAATATATCATTTTATTCCTGAAATATTATTTGTCTAAAAACTGCGCCCTCTCTAGAGCCAGCAATAGATTGCACACATAATTCTAACTGTACGGCGACATGATGTGCAGTAGTGTGTTAATGTTACAGTAGATGGCGCTGCATAATTTTTTTACTATATATTTTTTTAAATATAAAAAAGTTTCTTTTTTATTATTTTTATAGAGATAAACTTGATATTTTTTATTTATTTTAACACTATGTTATATTAAATAATATGGTAAATTAAATAAAAATAAAATCCAAACCATAGTACGATAAAATAAGCGAATCCCTAAATAAATAATAACCCAAAAAATAAAAAATATAAAGTTATATTACATACTGAAACTTTTAGAAATTAATTACATACTAGTTACATACACTGATTTTCTTAAATATAAAAGACCATTAAATGTTTCAGAAGAAATTCTAAGCAGTAAATAGTTATAATATTATTATAATGTTTTTATATTTTACCCCAAAATCATCTATGCTAAAACTACTGCACCGATTTTCATGCTGTTTTCACCAATGGATAGAGTGGTTCTCGGTGAAGGTTTTAGTATATAATTTGTTAAGTGTTTGTATACATTGGCTAATATATAACGATATTTGTTGGAGGTGTCGGAAAAAATAAGCCGTCTGGGAGGTTTCAACGAAAACGCTGCCTAAATAAACCCTTTGAAATATAACAAAATAATGTATGGCAGAATTGTGTACCTTATATAGGTCTACAAAAAAGTTCACGATGGCATATGTCTGTCTCTTAAGGATAACATTCTATATCCATATGCAATTATAATGCGGTGATGTAGTAAAAGCCATTTATAAATAAAAAAAAATTATAATAAATACGGTATTAATCTTTATAATTTTTCAATAAATTAGAGGCTTTAGGAATTTCATGCACCTCATTTTACTCTTTTACACCATACAATTTAAATGAATATCTTAGGAGTAATCTCAAAAAGACGCCAGAATTATATCTTTAACTATCTCTAAGAGTTCTAGTAAGCCTAAATTAATGTTTTGTTCATCAGGGACATACCAGAGGACGTTCTTAATACATATTGTTGGATTCACTCCACTTTCACCGTTGCGGGCGAGGCCGGCGCCTACCCGGGAGTCCGCGGCGCGGGCACCGCTCCTCGACGCTACGGGAAATACTATCAGTGGGTCGCTTTCATGCTGTTTTTACAGGTAAGTGATAGAGAGAAATAAAACTCCAAAATTAACCTGAATAGAAATTACGTGGAAACTAATTGCAGTTTTCAATAACCTATCTAACTGGAGTGTTCCTCACTAGAGATACAATTTTGACATAAGCTCTATACAAATTGTTCTATTGCTAATAAGGAAAATTACTTTTATAAATTAAAGTTATTGAGATTCGTCGTAAATTTCAGATATGCAAACGCATGACCTAACAATAATTTTTAATACGAATAGAATGGATGTTCATATCCACCCAAGGTACTAATATTCCTTAAATAGAATAATATTCCTTAATAGAGTGTTACGGTTTCTATGGAAGTTTGATCGTCATTTCTGAAGTAAGGTATGTTAAAATTGATGTTTCAGCTTCTATTGGCATTACCGATTGGAAACCCTATTGGGTGTATTCAATATTTTGACTCTATATACCAATAATACCGTATATTAATTGCTTATTTTAATTTTTGAGTATATTTTTAGTATATGTTATTAAAAATTTAGATTACTTTACTATGTAATAAATATCAATAATTAACTTTAATTATTCAAGACAACAATTCTTCAGTTTTTACTCGCGTCAACTCAGCAGAACTGTATACCGCCTATAGTACACCTTTATAATAAGTTGACTTCGAAAAATTGCTCCTTAAAGCTTTTAAACAAAGCTTGATTTAAAATGAAAAAGCTCTTACTTTTCTTCTGTTTGAGATATCCGCGTATGAGCTTTTAATATAATACTTTTTATCTTTATGAACCATTCTTTAAGGGTCAGTAGAGGGTTCGTAATAGAAAGTCGCTTTGTACAGCGGTTTTGCTTTTATTAAGATACAGTACCAAGCTTCGCTCGACGCTTTACGGAAAAGAAGTAACAACTGCGTTTTTTCGGGTAAGTCACCTATATAGATAAACTTAAAAAGGTTATCTAAATACAAAATTTGATCTAAATCGTTAGAGACGTTTCCGAGATACATGAAATAAATTTATTATTATATTATATACAAGATTTGTTTATTTAATATTATAAGATTGACTACAGCTTGAGTATTACTGTAGTCTACATTTTATATTTAGTGTGAACCCGCATTTCCTTTTTGTAACGTAGTAAATTCACCAACGAGCTACGAGATTATCGTTTAGCTTAAGTAAATAATAAAATATTTAAAACAACTATATTTATTTATTATATTTAACTATTTAGGACTCCTTAACTAAATAGGAAATAAAAATAATAGGGAAAAAAATAACGAATAAACTCAAAAACTACTAGACCGATTTAGATGAAATTTGGTAAGGAGATAGTTTGAGACCCCCAGAGATATTTTTTATTCCGGAAATCATCCCTTTAGGGAGTGAAAATGTGGATGAGAGTTTGTATGGGGAATCAACCCAGGGACAAAACCGCACGAAGCGAGGGTGAGTCCCAAGTTGATAATGTTTCTTTCAATTCCTATATATAATTTCAATTTCTTTATTTTTCATAGATATTACTAAGTAATATTATGAAACCAATAATATTTATTTAAGTGTGATAGATGTTCTGTATTTGATTGATAACTTCTCTTTGGTAACGTCTAATCACTTAACACCTTCGATTCTAAGATTAGCTTTACAAATTTAGGGAAAATTAATCTTTATTGTTTTTTCACTAGAGTTTGAATTAGTATGGAATTACTAAAGTCTAATAAAAAAATGTTATAACCGTGCGTTTTCAGAATACACGTCTCTTGATTGGCCTCTCTATTATGTATCACGCTATTGTATAGTGCGGTTTCCTTGCATTGGCATTAAAAACAAAATAAAATTTTTCATATCTTAATATTAGGTTTTCTTAAAGATAGGTTAGGTATTAAATATAGGTTCAAGAGAAGTATAATTACAAGTATTCAGCCCTTTTTTAACGTCCCACTGCTGGGCACGGGCCTCCCTTCAGTAGGAAGTGGATAGGGCCATAGTCCAACACACTGGCCAAGTGCGGCTTGGCGGACTGCACATGACTTTCGAAAACTTGTAAAGTTGTCTCAGACACGCAGGTTTCCTTAGGATGTTTTTCTAAGACAATAATCTTACGATTAACCGTAAGACAAGTGGTAATCATGTTGAAAATGATTCGTACATAAAAATATCAGAGATGCGAGAACCGAGATTTGAACCCGTTTCACTCGGTTTCCCAAGTGAGTGCGCTCGCTACCTCTGGGTTATCACTGCCTTTTATAAATAATAGTATGGAAAAAGTTATACGTAAAAAAATTGCATAGTTTTTAGGGAATAGTTTAGTAAATGTTTCACAGCAAGCATCATGTACATATTTAATACAATTAATCAATAATAGAATGAATATTTCTATTTTAATAAAGCCAGTGTGAGATAAAATAATCTTTATATAAAATATAAGAGGAGAGAGGAGAATATTATTTACCAGTTTGAAAAAACATTAAAGTACAATTTAGAAGAAATAAAATAATTTTTCAAATACAGTATTTAATAGCATATTCCAAAAACTAACAAAAATTGTAAGTTACTCCTTACAACATCAGTTGTTTTTGTTTTTTTCTTACAAGTACCGTTGATATTTTTTTTTACTAAATGCACATCATTTAGTAAAAAGCAGTTATTTTGATATTACAAACAGACAGTTCAATTTTACTTCTTTGTTTATATTTGATAATAATTGGAAGTATACGTTTCATCTGAGTGCGATGAAACTTTGGTGTATGCGTAGTTAAAATCACGTATTCATTTAAAAACACCTCCAGGTAAATTTCTAAGGAATTAATCAAAATTCTAAGTAATCATTGTTAACTGACTGGTTGTAGGGAATAATATACTAGCGTCTCACCTCTAGAGAAGCACAAACAGGTCTATCCCACAGAAACCGTTAATTTTTCCCGGGATAAGAACCTGTATACAAATATGTAAACAAGACTGAGAAACAAAAAAATTGAAAAAATCTAGATTTGTTCTTTTTTTCTTCTTACACCCCCCTGACTCGGTTTTTAGAATTTATTTTCTATGTACAGACATTCGACCTCTACAGTTTCATTATATGTATAGATGAAGAAGAATATACTTGAACCAATTTTTTTAATTATCCAAACCCATGGGGCCAATATCAATACATCAATTAGATAACAGATAACAGGCACTTTAATCGTAACGTATGCATTTCTAAACGATTCCTCTAGTTAAGACGTACATATAAACTGCAGTGATAAATTCTGTAAATCCCACCGAGGATAAAAGTGGTAAGTAATTCATGTCAGGTAAAATTTGAGACGTATTATCCTAAATAGCAAAAGGTACGATAAGCATGTATGTATGTATATTTGCGGCACTTTAGACTTCTATGAAACCGGAGAAATCCGATAGTATAGTAATATTTTTTTAATATTTTCTATTCATTTAAATATACTCCATATTTAGGATATGTTCTACAAGATAGATTAGTTTGAAGGCAGAGTGCCTACGTATGGCGCTACGACGTAGCTCTTTACTACGACATGGCACAAGAACCTATCGATCTAAGTTTCAAATTTCTTTTAAATATAATAAATAAAAATTATATAAAAATCTATAAAATGGTTACATTAATAAGTATTATAATCAAAACGGTCAATTCATATCAGGTGAACTATAATATTTCTAATAAAAAAGCAATAAACGCCATAGGCTTAGGGCTTGCATGATTACCGCGTTATTTCTTTTACCGGGCTTCTCTGTAACCTATATGAAATAAATAGGTTTTAAACGACAAGTGTGACTCAGTTTGTAGTGATCGTACTTGTTGTGCCAACGGTCGCGGGTTCGAGTCCCGCTGGGGGTATCCATTTATGTGATGAGCACGAATGTTTGTACTCCAGTCATGGGTGTTTTATATTTATAATATGTAGGTATGATGTATGTTTTAAAGTTATATATGTGTAGTGTATCAACTATCTGCTAGCCATATCACGAGCCTCGTAGCTTACCATGGAACTAGATGGTGCTGTGTGTTTATGTCCCAACATATTTATTTAACTTCAACTATGACTGTGGTGGCTCAGTGGACGAAGTATCTGGCAGATTTGCGACATCAAGAATTGGAAAAGTTTACAAGGGAATATAGTATTATGCAGTCGGAGACATACACGTTTTATCCTTGCCGCAAGATGTACATATTTGTATGTATGTCTCCGACTGCATAATACTACATATATTCCTTTGTAAGCGTGTAGCCATCTTTTTAGTTAGCTTTTATGCGGTCGGGTTTTTTATTTTTATAATTTTATTTTGGACTGGTTGAAACTATCACGTCCATATCTTTATTTTGAATATAATACTAGCAGAACCCGCGGTTTCGCTCGCGCTATAACTAAAAAATCTCTAAAAAGGTAATTTCATACAAACTTAACTACAACAAACTATTTTACCCCCTTATAGGATGAATTTTGAAAAATGCTAAAACACGTATTTATTTAATTTTATTGACGAGCATTAATACCAAGTTTCAAGAAATTCTGATCATACATATTTTTTTGGATTATATTATAACGTGTTTTCCGTGGGAATTAGATAATCTCCCACGAATAATAAAGTACGTAGTTACTCTCCAGCCCTCCAACTGTCTCCATACAAATAAACACGCCAATCTGTCGCTCCATTTTGACGTGAAAGAAGGACAGACAGACAGACAAACAAACAAACAAACATACACAATTTCACATTTATAATATTACTCTATTACTAATATTATAAAGAGGTAAAGTTTGTGAGGTTGTGAGTTTGTGAGTTTGTGACCTTGTAAGGGGTAATTTCTGGATCTACTGAGCCGAATTAGATGAAATTTGGTAAGAAGATAGTTTGAGACCCTGGGAAGGACATAGGATACTTTTTATCCGGGAAATCATCCCTTAAGGGGTGAAAGTTTGTAGTGGAAAGCAAGCTAGGCATGAACCCGAGCGAAGCGAGGGTGAGTCGCTAGTATATAATATATTTAAAACTCAAACATATGTAAAACTCAAACATAT